GATGAGAACGATAAAAAAGATAAGGAAGATGCTAAGGATGATGAAGATAAAGAGGATGATAAGGCGAACGATGATGATGATGATGATGCTGAAAAGGATGATGAAGATAAGGGTGATGAAGATGATAAGGATGATGACGAGAACAGTGAGAAGAAGAATGACGAGGATATTTATGATAAAAATGTTGACAATGACGATGATGCTAAGAAGGAGAGTGCGGGTGAAAATGTTATTGGTGATGGCGAAGACGAAGCTGATGATGACACTTCAGAGAAATCAAAGGTCAAGCAGGATGATAGCGAGAATGATGAAGATGATATGGCTGTGAGGGTCAAATCTGAAAATAGTGGCAAAGACGATGCTGATGTCGAATCGAATGATGATGACGAGGACGAAGACGAAGTTGATAATAACAACAAAACGGAAACAGCCAAGGGCAAAGGATCAAAAGCTGTCGAGGAAGAAGGTGACAATGATGATGCCGATGAGGATGATAAAAAGGAGAACACGATAAAGGCAACGAAGGATAAAGAGGACCAGGCGGAATATGACAAGAAGGGTTCTAAAGCCGACGCAGACGAGGATGAAGAAAACGATGACGGAAGTGCTGAGGAAGGTGAAGAAACAGAGACAGTTGCGGATACCGAGTCTGACTTGAAGGGCAAGAAGACCAAATCCGGAAGCAAGGCTGTGGATGATGAAGAAAAGGATGTCGAGAGCGATGATGATGCACAGGGTGCCGCTGATGATGATGAGAATGAAACAGACGCAGGTGAGATAATATTTACTTTGCTCCCCAGTTGACTCAGTCCTAGATTGGAGTTTTGATGTTTTGATTTATCGTGGTTCTTGCTTCATGGAGAGTGCTATGTTGATACGTACCAATTGCTTAGTTTTCGTACGCAATAGATCCAGAGTTTGCGGCATAGTCTAAAAGCGTATATAAGCATCTCTTTCGGCTCAACATATCCCTTTTCAGGATGCTCGGATTAAGTATATTCAGAAGGAGAACAAAAATTTACTACATACATACTGCAATCAATAACGTACAAGTTCGCATCCTAAATGTACAGACACGGACAAGAATGCCGATGAAAGCCAGTCCGATACAGCTAAGAACACATCACAGGACGCATCGGCCAAGGAAGCTGATGTGGCCAGAGCTAAGGCCATTCAAGAGTTGCAGAAGTTGGCAGCAGCAACCAAAGATACAGAAGAAAGTCAGTTCGATACAGTTGAAAACACATCAAAAGACGAATCAGCCGATGAAGCTGATATGGTCAAAGCTAAGGCGATTCAAGAGTTGCAGAAGTTGGCAGCAGCAACCACAGACACAGCTCCTTCCAAACCCTCTCATAAGGTGGCTGATGATGTAGAGGACAAGTTGGACGAGATGGAGAAGGACCTGAATCTACTCAGCCAAACACTAATTACTTCCGAAAATAAGGATGAAAGTGAAGATGACGTAAAGGACAAGCCCAGTATGGATTCAATACTGATGGACAGTTCAAACAAGAAAAAGGCGAGTATGGTTGACGAAGATGATGTGGAAGTCGTGGATAAAAACGAGGTGTGTGCAATAAGCGAAAACGACCCCTATTATTCTGAATGATTGTAGTATTTCAAGTGATTGCCAGTAGAGTCGTTATTTTAGCTTGCAATTCGTGTGAATCGACAACGTCTAAATACTATAGCGAAACATACTGCCTCTGATTAAAAGCGAAGCGCTACGCTTGGTGTGACAAGATCTATTCACATAAGTCAGTCCGTGTACTAACAAGTACGAAATATTTATCACGGGATTCTTTTGAATGTTTTATGTACTAACAATCACTTTAAATGTATTTGGCTGCAAAAGTCCAATGACGAACCAGAAGAGGACGACTACCCTGAAGAAGATAATGATGAGGAGGGCGATGACGAGGCGCCAGACATGTAAATAGTGTCCGTTTAAAAAATAATGTATATACACAAAAATATCGATGCCGGGATGTTTTATCAACTAACTCAATAAATAAGAATTGTAAGCTCATCTGTAGGTTTGTGTATGGTAACTAGCCTGTGCTTCAGATAAAAAGGTGATGGGAAACACTCACAAGTATTTACATCGAGTTAACGGATGCGAAACTCATTACACGAGCGCTCTCTAACAACAGTATATTTTCTATCTGCTAAAGTGAACTATATTGCTCTATATCAATGCTGACAACCCTTTTTATACCTCCCTGCTAAATTTAACACCTAAACCTGGCCTGTGATCTGTAGTCCGGGTCAGAAAAAGCCAATATATTTACTGGTATTTAATCGAGTCCATCGCTTTATTTGTAAGTATGACCATTTTTATAGCGACAGTAATATATCTACATATACTGTATAAGCACTCAAAATCATTACTTTCCGCGCGAAGTTTGCAGTCGGAACATTCGTGTTGCGCAAATCAGGTTAAGTTCTTATTAGGCCGAATCAGTCAACAAGTACATATACAGTCAACAATCTCTCGCACTCTCTCGATGCTGTCTCAACTGAAGGAATCCCTACAAGAGTACTTCACAGGTTATGATAGACACAAAGACCGTTCTTTAAAGCATATTCCAGTGAGAATATATTCCTTTGTATATCCTGACTTTGGCATGGGTACTATCTGTTTGGTTGATTTCAAATGTTGACACGCCAGGGTAGAGTGACATATGAGAATACGTAGCATTGCTCCACTATACTATGTCAGCCACCTTTGATATGCCTGCCCTGGAGGCTGGAGGCTGGGACGCTGGGCCTGCTCTACTTTCAGGAGTAGAATCGAGGGCCAAGATCAATATTTCACTATCATGAGCCCATTGTTCATTCAAAAGTCTCATTGCCCAACTTACACCTATGCTTGTTTCAGGCAGTTGTCACTGTTCAGGCTTTCAGCGCCGCCTTTATTTCCAGACAAAATAGTGAAAATACAAATGTATGTACGCTTGAAAAAAGAAAAAAAACTCACTCAAAGTCTGTGATGGAGTACAATATTTTGAGTATCAGTTAAAAATATTTTTTGAGTGAATATTATAGTCAAAGACATACAATTTTATAAAATTTATTAAAACAAAATACCCCCCCCCCACTACTACTACTACACACTACACTACTAGTACGTACTCGCACTACTACACTACGACACTACTACTCTACGTACGTAC